GGCAAAACCTTGGGGTTCCTTAAGGATCCTTCCAAAACCTGGGGCGTGTTCCTTTGGGTTCTGTGAGTAAATGGGATCCTTTGGGGTCTCTCCAAAGGCCTGGCACTGCTGAGCCTCCTTTGTGTTTTGCAGACCTTTGAAGGCCACGATGCCTCAGTGCTGAAGATCATCTTCGTGAGCCGAGGGGCTCAGCTGCTCAGCAGGTTTGTGCCTGGTTCCAGAGTTAAGGGAATGTCTGAGCTCATCAGCAGCACCAAGAGGAAAGACTCTTGTGTCCAAAGAATCTTTGGACAGATTTATAGGAAGATGCCATGCTTAGGCCAGGCTTTCTGAAGAGGTTATTTTAATCTTCCTCCTCTCCAGGTGTCCCATGGGTTCCATGTGGCTGCTGTGGCACTGCTGGGTTGGGACAAACTCAGTAGACAAATCTAAGGGTGCCCTCTTGCCCTCCACATTTTTGGTTAACTCTGCTCCTGGTTGGAAGGAATTGGGATGGGACAGGTCCATCTGATATGTGAGGTGGGACAGAGCAAGAATGGATCTGTCCAGTGATGCTTTCTGTTGTGTTTCTCTTCCAAAAGTGGATCCGATGGTCTCTTAAAACTCTGGACAATTAAAACAAACGAGTGTGTGAAAACATTAGATGGCCATGAGGATAAAATCTGGGGCCTGCACTCCAACAAGAAGGATGACATGGTTGTGACAGCCTCCAGTGACTCCTGCATCACCCTGTGGCAGGTACAGCAGGGGGCTGCTTCCTCCCTGGGTTAATAATCGGGGTAATTGGAGAGCTCAGGGTCTCATGGCTTGTTTTTCATGTGTTCTCCTTGTCTGCAGTTTGAAATTGGGGTTTGGGGGTATTTTTTTGGCCGTCCTGTATTTCCCCAGAGCAGCAGATGGGCCCCAGCCCTGGAGCTTTGGAGGGAAGTTGGAAATTGCTGGATTTAACATTTAAATTACTTGACCCTGATATTTTGCTGCAGAAATTGGTCTCCACATCACTTGATGGCTAAATCAAAACCCTTCTACATTAAAGCAGGATTTGATAAAGTTTTATTCTGTTTTTTTAACAGGATGTGACTGAAATTGAGGAGAAAGAAGCACAGGCTAAACAGGAGGAGCAGATTATGAAGTGAGTTAATCTTGTGTCATAAAGAGCTGTGAAAGGCAAAGTCTGCAGTGGAACTGTCCACACCTGGAGCCACCCAGCTCCACCTGATTCCAGTATTGGAGTGAGGGCATTTATTGACGAGCACCACAGACTTCTGAACTGTTATTGCCAAACCTGCTGCTTTTTCTGTAGTTTTGTTTTTTTCAGCACCCAAAGATTGGTCTCACTCTCCCCCCTGCTTTGTTTTCCAGAGAGCAAGAGCTTTCCAACCTTCTCCATGAGAAAAGGTACCTGAAGGCTCTGGGCCTGGCCATCTCCCTGGACCGGCCGCACACGGTGCTGACCGTGGTCAAGGGTGAGTCCAGAGCGTGCTCTGAAGGATTTCCTGCCCTCCCTCCTTCCCTGGACACCTCTTCCAGCTAGTTCAAGGCTTCAAAGTGCAGTAATTAGCCTGAAGCCTGAGTTTCCCCTGAGTGCCATCACCAGGGTGTCCCTGCTGTCGTTTCTCTCTCCAGCCATCCTCAGGGAGCCCGAGGGGAGGAGGCACCTGGAGGAGAACATTGTTCGGCTCCGCAAGGATCAGAAAGGTTTGTGGCAGACTGAAGCGCTGAAAGCTTTCAGCTCACAGGCTGAAATTGGAGTCCTACAATCCTGGAATGGTTGGGGTTGGGAGATTGTCCAGTTCCACCCTCTGCCATGGGCAGGGACCTTCCAGCAGACCAGGACCTGGCCTTGGGCACTTGCAGGGATGAGGAGTGTCCGTGTGGCACCTGAGAGAGCCCAGGGATGTTTCCCAGGGCGGGCTCTGCTGTGTGCCAGCCTGGCCAGGCTTCCTTCCCCCACAGAGGCCGTGCTGGCGTTCCTGGTGACGTGGAACACCAACTCCCGGAACTGCCACGAGGCCCAGGCCGTGATGGAGACACTCCTGAAGCACGAGGCACCCGACTCCCTCCTGCAGTTCTCGGGGATTAAATCTGCCGTGGAGTCCCTGCTGCCCTACACGGGTGAGCCCTGTGGGGACAGGCGTGGCCTGGAGGGGCTGCCTTGGGTCAGGGATCATGGAGTGGTTTGGGGTGGAAGGGGCAGGCCGGGTAATGCACCCCTGCCATGGCAGGGATGCCTTCCACCATCCCAGGGTGGGATCCCCATCCCAGAGCTGCCCAAGGCATTCCCCCGCCCTCCCAGGGAACAATTCCTGCCCAATCTCCCATCCAGCCCTGCCCTCTGGCAGTGGGAGCCATTCCCTGTGTCCTGTCCCTCCATGCCTTGTCCCCAGTCCCTCTCCAGCTCTCCTGGAGCCCCTTCAGGCCCTGGAGGTTTCCCTGGCGTGTTCCCTTCTCCAGGCTGGGCATTCCCAGCCTGGCTCCACAGTCCAGGGCGGGCTGTGGTGCCTCCCCGTGAGCTGAGCCCTCCCTCCCTCCCTGCAGAGCGCCACTTCCAGCGGCTGAGCCGCCTGCTCCAGGCCTCCACCTTCCTCGAGTTCCTGTGGCACAACATGAGGCTGGCAGAGGTGGCCCAGCAGGACCAGGGGACTCTGTGACCCCCCTCCCACCAACTGCTCTTTCCCACCAGGATTTTTAGTTCCTGTATTTTGTAATAAAAGTTTGAATTTCCAAACCAAGTCTAACATCCAGTCTCCTCAGGGATGAATGAAAGGAAAGCACAACACAAAAGGTCATTTCTTTGGCCAAGCTGGGGTTTGTGTTTTCACACCCTGAATTTTCAGACACACAAACAGCAGGTAGTTTGGGATAAAAAAAAAGGCAGAATCCCAACAAGCAGCTGGGATTTAAAGGGTTCATGGAGCTGGGATCTTGCTTGGGCAAAGCAGCCTTGACTAAGGTAAGGGTCTCACCCATGCCCACCCAAAATTTAGCACCTGGGAGGAAGAGAAGCACAATTTAAATTCCCCAAATAGCATATTTTTAAAGCATAATACACAAGCAGGCTTCAGAGATATTTACATGTATTTTATTTCATAGACAAAAATGTATAAAATTCAAACAACATAAACACCACACAAGTTCTTTATAAAAATATAACAGATACCTGGGAGAATAAGTACAATTAAAGCCATCAGTGTAGAGAAAAGTTAATTTTCCTAGAACTCTTTTTCTGACTCATTTCTAGCAAATGAGTTGAGGATTAGAATTGTGAGTTTCAGTAACTAGCCAGTCCCCTGTGAAGAGGAATGCTTTGTCCATAAAAGTGACCTCTGTTCCCATCCCAGGTGGGACAGCAGCTGTGGCTGCCCTGGTTGTGTTCCTGTGCCTGCACAGACCTGGCTGGGGTGAGCAGGGATGAGTTTCCTCCCCAGCAGGTTTTTTATTCTCACAGCCATTCAGCAGATCCAGCCCATCCCTATATTCATGGCCTCTCCACTAACCTATTAAAAAATCCCAAACCAACACCAAAAGTCAAAAAGTTAAAAAAATATCTATAAAATAGGGGGTTCAGTAAGAGCCATCGCACAGGTGCCTCATCCCCTCCCTCCCCAGTCCCGGGACTGGCTCAGGGTGCCAGGGGCACTGAGGCACTCTGGTGCCACTCCTGTGCCCTCCACGGTGGCCGTGGCTGTGCCAGCTGATCCTGGCATGGGGAATAACCCAGCTGTGCTGCAGGGAGGGGAACACTGCCTGCGGAGAGCTCCCTGAGCTCCGAGTGAGCTCCAGCTCTGGAGCTGCTGAATGTGACCCCACTCAGCCCTGTCCCAGTAACTCCTGGTCCCTGGGGAAGCTGCAGCTGCCCAGGGAGGTGATGGCTGTGTGTGTGTCCCTCAGAAGGGACAGTCCCAAGCCCTGACCCTCCGGGGTGATGGCTGTGTGTGTGTCCCTCAGAAGGGACAGTCCCAAGCCCTGACCCTCCGGGGTGATGGCTGTGTGTGTGTCCCTCAGAAGGGACAGTCCCAAGCCCTGACCCTCCGGGGTGATGGCTGTGTGTGTGTCCCTCAGAAGGGACAGTCCCAAGCCCTGACCCTCCGGGGTGATGGCTGTGTGTGTGTCCCTCAGAAGGGACAGTCCCAAGCCCTGACCCTCCGGGGTGATGGCTGTGTGTGTGTCCCTCAGAAGGGACAGTCCCAAGCCCTGACCCTCCGGGGTGATGGCTGTGTGTGTGTCCCTCAGAAGGGACAGTCCCAAGCCCTGACCCTCCGGGGTGATGGCTGTGTGTGTGTCCCTCAGAAGGGACAGTCCCAAGCCCTGACCCTCCGGGGTGATGGCTGTGTGTGTGTCCCTCAGAAGGGACAGTCCCAAGCCCTGACCCTCCGGGGTGATGGCTGTGTGTGTGTCCCTCAGAAGGGACAGTCCCAAGCCCTGACCCTCCGGGGTGATGGCTGTGTGTGTGTCCCTCAGAAGGGACAGTCCCAAGCCCTGACCCTCCGGGGTGATGGCTGTGTGTGTGTCCCTCAGAAGGGACAGTCCCAAGCCCTGACCCTCCGGGGTGATGGCTGTGTGTGTGTCCCTCAGAAGGGACAGTCCCAAGCCCTGACCCTCCGGGGTGATGGCTGTGTGTGTGTCCCTCAGAAGGGACAGTCCCAAGCCCTGACCCTCCGGGGTGATGGCTGTGTGTGTGTCCCTCAGAAGGGACAGTCCCAAGCCCTGACCCTCCGGGGTGATGGCTGTGTGTGTGTCCCTCAGAAGGGACAGTCCCAAGCCCTGACCCTCCGGGGTGATGGCTGTGTGTGTGTCCCTCAGAAGGGACAGTCCCAAGCCCTGACCCTCCGGGGTGATGGCTGTGTGTGTGTCCCTCAGAAGGGACAGTCCCAAGCCCTGACACTCCAGGGTGATGGAGGTGTGTGTGTCCCTCAGAAGGGACATTCCCAAGCCCCGAGGCTCCGGAGGGACCCCAGCGAGCCCTGTCAGCGCTGTGCCCGTGTCCCCGGCCAGGGCCGCTAATGGCGGCAGGGCAGCGGCAGGCCGGGCCGGGGAGCCGCCTGCTGCACGGCGCGCTTGGTGACGGTGCTGCAGCGCTGCAGGATCTCCTGGGCGGAGGGACGGGCTGGCACCCTGGGCACAGCCGCGGCCGGCTCCGGCCGGGCTGCGGAGGGCTCCGCGAAGCCCGAGTCGTTGCTGTCCCCGGCGCTGAGGTGCGGGGCTTTGCCGCTGTGCGCGGCCGGCCCGCGGCTCGGCCCGGGAGCGCTCCTGGCCGGCTCCACCTCGGGCAGGGACCGAGACAAGTCGGCTTTCCAGGCGCCGCTGCTCGCCGAGCTCCGCGAGGAGCTGTCCAGCCCCAGATGCAGCTGCGGGGTGGAGCTGGCCCGCGGCAGAGAGCGGGAGCGGCTCCGGGGGGAGGCGGCGGGCTCCGGCCGGGCCGCGCCCCGCGGCTGAGGGCAGCCGAGGCCCGGGCTGCGGGCGTGCGGGCTCAGCATGGTCTGCAGCTTGTGGTGAGGGTTCTGGTAGGGCCGGAGGCACAGCGAGGGCATGTAGCCGGTGCAGCCGTTGTACCTGAGGGCAGGGATGGAAAGGACACTGAGAAAACCCTTCCAGCATCTCGGGCCAAGGGCAGGGAGTGCTTGGGGAGCGGGTCCGTGCTGTACACGGGGTGTGAGGAGAGGGAAAGCATCCCCAGCCAAGGACATCCAGCTCAGAGGGCTCCTGTGCATCCCACACGGGGAGAACAGCAAGCAGCTCCCTGGGGCAGCCAGGGCTTTGGGAAAGCTGCTCACCGGATCAGCCACCAGCCGTTGTGGGATGTCCTGAGCACCTCCACGACCACCCCCTGGTTCAGCGAGAGCTCGTCTGCCTTCTGAGCCTCGTAGGCCTGCACCACAAAGTACAGGCTGCCTGCAGAGAGAGGGAGAGGTCAGATCTGCCCTGTGGAGAAAATGCTCTGATCCCTGTGGGAGACCAGCCCAGCTGCAGGGCAGCTGTCCCTGAGAGTGACTGGTTTGCTCAGGGACCCCAGTTTGATCCATTTAAGTTGGATATAAAGAAGAAGTTTTTTACAAAAAGGGTGTGGAGGCCCTGAAGAGGTTGCCCAGAGAAGCTGTGGCTGCCCCTGAATCCCTGGAAGTGTTCAAGGCCAGGTTGGACAGGGCTTGGAGCAGCCTGGGACAGTGGAAGGTGTTGGGGTTGGAACTGGATGGGCTTTAAGCTCTCTTCCAACCCAAACCACTCCATGGTTCCATGACCCACAGGTGATGGCAGGGCCAACAAGAAAAGTCAGAGGTCCAGGCAGGGACACCAGGCAGTGGTAAAGTGGTGGGAGTTTGCAGAACTCATGTTTTGAAGGAGGAACAGACTTACCCTCCTCGTCTGAGCTGAAGGCATTCTGGACGTCCTCACAGGCATCAAGCTCTTCCAGGTACGAGGCTGGGAACCAGGCTATCTGTTTGTCTGCATTTTCCACCAGCCACCAGCCTACAAAGAGGAAAAATACCCAGATTTTAACAGCCTGCAAGTCAAGACATGACAACAATCCCTGGGTAGGGGACACAAGCGACAGGAGGGACATTCAGTGTCCCCCCAGGTAAACACACAAGTGCAAACACCTGAAGCCCTGACTCTGCCTCAGCATTTGCCTGGCTGTGAATCCATCCACCCCAACACTGAATCCTCTCAGACCTACCAGTCATGTCCTTGATAAGCACTTCCACAATCTCCCTCTGGGCCACTGTGAAGGGTTTGTTCTTTGTGTCTTTGGTTTCAAAGGCCTCGATGCAGTGGTAGCTCTGCGACGCCTGAGGGAGGGTGATGGAGAGGGGCTGGGGGCTCTTCTCCCTTCTGAATACTGATGGCATGATCACCACACTGGAAAGTAAAGGTGCACATCAAAAACTCACATGAGAGGTTGAGTTTAGTATTGATTTTGGTAAAATAATGTCTGCAGTAGGCTGAGAAATGCTTCAGGCATCAGAAACAAAGTTAAAAGCACCCAGCTGAGCTGCCCTGGAGTGTAAGTGGTGTTTCCCTTCTATCCATATCCATAACATTTCTGTTTCACCAACAAACAAAAAAATGCAACTCATGTTTCATACCTGTTTTCAGGGAAGGAGGGATCGAGGTCTTGAGTCTGTGCCTTGAAAAACTGATTCACCTCTTCACCCCGGGAGATTTTCACATCTGTTTTCAGCAGCTCCTGGGAATATGTTTCCAGCAGTTTCAGGATCTCCAGGCACCTGTTCAGCTTCCCGCCCTTCCTCTGCTGCATAGTTATTCCTTCAAAGTAACAAGGGCACAGTTGGGATAGGACAGCAATGGATCTGGATCCCTGGAAAAGAGCAGCACTTTTCCCTGAACAGCAGGTGCCCTCACCCACCACCCTTCCTGCCCAAGCCCCAACTGTACAAAGTCACTGTCCCTGCCTCCCTGTCATTTTTAACAGCTCCTGATAGGATTTTGTAACATCTAAAATTTCTCTTTTTTTTCACATGTGAAGTTTCAAGAAGCTCTAGGTCAATATTTGAAGTGTAGCATTAATTTGCCAAGTGCAGCTATCTATTAAAAAGCCTTTCTGGGTCATTTTAAGTCAGTTCTAGACCCAAACAAGCTGATGTGACCCAGTGGTGCCATGGCAGGAGCAGGAGTGAGCCCCTGATCTGTTCCAGAGCAAGGTCAGCCTCAGAGGCTTCAGTCTCTGTCACGGGTTATGGCTGTCCCTGATCACTCTTGTGTTTGTTGGTCCATCAGAGATTTGTCCTTACCTTTAAACCTGGGTAAACTCCTCAGTGACCCACTCTCAGTGGGGAATTTTCTCTTCAGCTCTTTCTAAAAGCAAGGAGAGGGAGAGAACAGTGATTCCTCACAGCTGACACACGGCCAGGCTCCTTCCCCTCCCCAGGACAGGAACCTTGAAATGTCAGGAATTGAAAATTCACTTACATGGAATTTCTTAAAGTCTTCAAATGTCCTGTAGATGAGAATGTTGTTCTGATCTGACCAGGACACAAACATCATGTAGTTCTGGGAAAAGAAGAGGGAAAAGAAAAGCCGTTTAATCATAATGTTCAATTTTGGAGGCTTCCAGACAATCAGAATTTGCTGTGGTTTAGTTGAGGCTTTTAACATCACATAAAGAAATTAAATAAAACATTCAACCTACAAAAATATGTCTTTAATTTCATAGTCCCAAATGGGTGATCATTGCTGAAACCAGGAGAATCTTATGGTGCTGTGACAAAAAGAGAGCAAACCCCAAGATATTAAGCTCACTAAAAACCAAGTCCCCTTATCCTAGACCCCTAGGCTCCAATCCCAGTACTACGGGGAATGAGCAAACATATCCCTGGCAGAGTAACTCAAAATCCTCTAGTGTCCCAATTTGTAAATTATATTTAAGGAAGAAAACAAAGCCAAAAAATAAAAAAATTAAATTACCTTCTGTTTCCTGCACTGCATGAAGCCGACAGCCTTCACATCCACGGGGTACCTGTTGCAGCTCATCTTCCCCACGGCTGCTGCTGCTCCTTTGCTGGGAGCCAGAGGGATGTGAGAGGGAAGGATGGGAATTGGAGGGATGAGAATTGGAGGGATGAGAGATGGAGGGATGAGAGAGGGAGGGATGAGAACTGCACAGGGAGCCAGAGGGATGAGAGAGGGAGGGATGGGAATTCGAGGGATGAGAATTCGAGGGATGAGAGAGGGAGGGATGAGAACTGGAGGGATGAGACATGGAGGGATGAGAGATGGAGGGATGAGAACTGGGGGGCTGAGAACTGGAGGGATGAGAACTGGAGGGATGAGACATGGAGGGATGAGAGATGGAGGGATGAGAACTGGGGGGCTGAGAACTGGAGGGATGAGAACTGGAGGGATGAGACATGGAGGGATGAGAGATGGAGGGATGAGAACTGGGGGGCTGAGAACTGGAGGGATGAGAACTGGAGGGATGAGACATGGAGGGATGAGAGATGGAGGGATGAGAACTGGGGGGCTGAGAACTGGAGGGATGAGAACTGGAGGGATGAGACATGGAGGGATGAGAGATGGAGGGATGAGAACTGGAGGGATGAGAATTCGAGGGATGAGAGCTGGAGCGAGCAGAGCTGCGGCTCCTGCCCGAGTGCCGGGTTTAAATAGCCCGGAGCAGGAGGCAGGGCAGAGGTTCCCGAGCTTCCTCCTCCGCCCAGCGCCCGGGCAGAAATTCCGCGATTTGCCAAAGTGCCGCGTGCCTTTTACCTTTCCCCCCGCTTTTAACATGCAAATGCTGCCGGGTGCAGGCAGGACGTAGTTCAGGTAGCCGGGGAGGAAAAACAGTATTTTATCACACCTTTACTAACCAGTGCCGGGAAGGAAGGGAGGGGAAGGGAGCGGGGCTGTGTGCCAGCGCTGGGTTAGAGAAGGTCACAGGGGCTGCAGCACCTGCCCCGAGATATTTCCGGGAGACAGGTGAGGTTTTTATGGCTGTATCACACGGACCTGCAGCTCGGGCTGAGCTCACCCAAAGACTGATTTAGAACATGGGTTGTAAAGTCTTTTATCACATCTTTACTAACCAGTGCCGGGAAGGAAGGGAGGGGAAGGGAGCGGGGCTGTGTGCCAGCGCTGGGTTAGAGAAGGTCACAGGGGCTGCAGCACCTGCCCCGAGATATTTCCGGGAGACAGGTGAGGTTTTTATGGCTGTATCACACGGACCTGCAGCTCGGGCTGAGCTCACCCAAAGACTGATTTAGAACATGGGTTGTAAAACACAGATCAGGCACCATTAAACGTGAGTAATATTTGTTGCAAATATTTTTCCTGCTTTGTCCCACCTGCCGAGTTACTTTAAATAGATTTCTGACAGTTTTATCAATACCACCATTTAGATGCCGATGTAATGAACAGACATCCCCAGGATGTAACTAAAAGACTGAAAGCTCCTCGGGTGTAAATATGTGATGGAAATTCAGCTCGGAGTGCTCTGCCCTGTGTCCAGCCAGGTGTCCACACCCTCCCAGGGCACCCAGCAGCTCCTCCTGAGGAGCAGCTCCACTGCCCAGAGGCTCAGCAGGATAATTCCGGTCTTGGCCAGCCTGTCCTCTCCCTGAGCCTCAGGGCTGATGGGCACCGTGTGATCAAACCGCCTCTTCTTTGGTAAAGCCTCAATTGAACCATTATCACTATAATTATCTTTATCATTATCATTATTGGAACCGAAACTGAGAGGCTCAGCCGTGCCTCCCTTTCATTTCCCAGCCTCACCTGGTGCCTCAAACCCTCAGCAATAGCTGCAGGTGATTTTTCATCTACCAAAAAAAAAACCAACCCAGAACTGGAACAGGGGGCCAAACCAGATTCCTTCTGGAAAATACAGTCAGGAGGGTCTTGGTTTGTGATCCAGGAGCACGGGAGGCTGCTCCCACACAGCAGGGTGGCAGTTTGTGGAGACAAAGAAAGCAGGTTTATTGCAGTTGGATTTATTGCTGCTGGATATCTGTCCTGCATTAAAAAGGGAAAGTTATCCCTTTGGATTTTGGAGAGAAAAGCTCTCCAACAGGCTCTCCAAGGCATTTCCTGGCTCAGGAAGCCGCACAGGAGCTGCCCTGTGGAAAAGGGATGTGGAGCAGCTCCCTGCCCTCCACAGCCCTGGAATCAGACCCTCCATCCCTCTGTTACAAAGCCTCCAGCCAAACCATGTGCTGGTAAATCTCCCCAGATGAAAGAGTGAGGATTTTATGGAGTGAGAGGAAATCACTTCATCCAGCAGATTTATTTAGAAAGTTCCAGTCTCTGAGGTGCCAAAACCCTTTGCTGACTCCATGTCCTCAAACCTGCACTCACTGGCTTCTCCTTGGCAGCCAAGCCAGGGCCAAACTCACCCTCACGTGGCTCTTGGAAATATCTGGGACCAAGACTCCCAATGAAGCACCTTGGCTTGGTTTCCTGTCTCAGAGCAAACACAAATGACAACATATTTCCAAGAACATAAAGGTTTGAACATGTGTATCCTGACTGGGAAAAGCCAAAGACAAGGAAAGCTTTGGAGGAGCTGCAGGATGAGGAGATAGCCGGGGAGGCACAGAGAGCACCTTGATCTGAGGATGCCATAAAAACCAGAAGAGTAGGAAACAGCCTTGATTTTTCTGTGTTTCATCATTCTCAGGGAATTCAAGCAGAAAGGGAGGTGTGGAAAACATCTAATGGAATGTTACAACAGGAAGGTGAAGCTACACAGGGTTTTACAAGTCACCCGAGGCAGAAGGACCAGCCCTGCAGCTTGCAGAGCTGATCTTCTGGAAAAGATTGGACTGACTGGGGCATTGCTGGTGACAGTGGTGTTGTATAAAAGCAAATACGAGCAAAACTGCTCAAAACTCAATAACTGGTTATTGAGAAAACGTTTTGAGGAAGTGAAGGGCTCTGTGACACAGAACTGAGGTGCAGGGAGGGAGGGGAAATCCCTGCCACTCCTCCAAGACACCAACACCTCTGGAGTCACCTGGAGGGCTCAGGTCAGGCTCTGCAGCTGTCACAGCAGTATCGGTGCCCTGGCGCTGTCAAGGGTGATGTCACAAAACTGTCTGCTCCAGAATGACCTCAGGAGCCTCGTCACATCTGCAGTGACACCGCCTGCGAAACCAGAAGGAGGCTGGGCCAGACGGCCCTTGGAAGGGTAAGGTGCTCCTCCCAGCTCTCCACAGCTCCCAGCCATGGCAGGGCCATTCCTGTCGGCAAGGATGGGTAACCCCCAGCAGAGGCCATAACTCCACTCCTCTGCTGGATGCATTTGGACTCGCTTATAAAAAACAAGACAAACATTGTTTTTCTGGCATTATCAAGTTTCCTTTGTGTCTTCTACAGTTTCCATGTCATCCTGCTATAAATCAGTGCCTCCTCATGGGTAATAATTAATGGCAGAGGAGGAGGGGTCTGCCCAGAAAAAGTGATACTCAGCAAGAATTACTGGATGCCGCTGTTTCATCATCTGTATTTATTTACACAGCTCTGAGGGCAGCAGTTAATTTTCCTTTGTTGTTTTACAAGGTACCAAAGAGATCATAAATTAACAGGCAACATGTAATATTGCCCTGCCCGGCTTTGCCAAGATGCAGGGAACACGGATTTTTCCATAAAGACTCCCATCATTTTGCAGTGTGCTCCAAGAGAGCCTCCTGCACCCCACCAAGGTGCAGCTCTGCTGCTCGAGGAGCATCACTCCAGCCACAAACTGCTCCTCTGGGGACAGAAACACGTTTGTGTCACAGCAGGTGACTAAGGCACTGTCACAGGGAGCCACACCAGGCTGCCTGCCCCAGACTGGCCACGGCTGGGAAGATGAAGTAGGTCAGCCAGAGGTGCAGGAAGGCCCCACAGACACCAGGGCTGTCCCACTGATATTCCCATCCCGAGATCAGCCTCTCTTCCATGACAAATGAACACTGATGCTCTGCTTTTCTATTCATTTCCGTGTGGATGAGGAGTAATTTCAGTAGAAGCAGAATCTGAGCCCACAGATGCTCAGGGGCAGCCAAAGGCAGCTCCTCTCCAGCTCCTCCTGAGCCATTTTCCAGGTCCAGCAAGAAACAGCCTTGTCCCAAAAGCTTGGAGAGGAGCAGCTGTGTTCTGAACATCTTTTCCACGCACACAAGTCGTGTCTGGGCTGCTGAGTGACCTGTGCCCCTCACGGCTGACAAAGTGTGGGACTCTGCATCAGGGATTTCTCCTTCTGTGGCCACCACAGGAAAGGCAAAGAGAGGAAAAGTCCTCAAACCACCCCCAGGACACTGCAGCTGCGAGGAAGAGATACAGAAAGGAGCTGTGGGCACAGCCAAGGGGGGCCTGGAACAAAGCTGGAGGAAAAGCTTCATCTTTCCCTTGCTCACCTTCAGGATCAAAACCTGCCCTTTACTGTTCTTGAAGGTCACCTGTGATGACACATGACCTATCAGCACCTTTAATGAACAGCCCAGATGCTAAAAGCCGATTTTAAAAGTACAAAGAGGTTTTAGACTTTTAATAAATAGAGAAACAGACCT